GCTTGGTGGCACCTGATGTCCAGCCAAGGTCAAACCACCACAGGAAGTTACAAATATGTGGCTTTTTGCAGATGCAAACTTCTGAACAAACTTAATTGATGAATCTGCCCATTGCATTTCCATAACACGCTGTCAGAAGTGGTTTTATAGCTCTGTCTGCATAATGAACAGGAGGACTTAAACAAGTTCTTTAGTACTTTTAAATAAAAGTATCTATTTACATGGGGTGTAGAACGGGAATAAGCTTCTAATATATTTGTTCTATGCCATCACATGAAGGCAAATTACACAACACACAATGAATTTATGTTCAAGGAAGTGCATGATTCTATGGCTATAATCTGAGTTCTTTATAGAAAGCCACAATTCACAGAACTTGAATATCGCATAAATCTGAAAACTGCTAAACACCCCCACTATCTTAGTATTTACAGTGCTGCTTTTGTTATGAACTGTAATGTCCTGCTCTGGCACTTAGCGGTAAAACAGAGTAATTCACCTCCATTTCTTTTCAGTTCTGTGATGACCACATGAAATACAACCCTGCTGCCAAGGCATTCTGGTAGGAAGCAAGCACTGCAGTCTGTAGCATAAAGTGGCCCAGTTTTCCCTTTGCGCTTCTAACATGATTTATGTCACCTCTGAAAAAAAGCATATTTTTCAATCTTTGCTTTTGGGGCCTCTTGGTTCTTATTTATAAGTGTATCATCTGCTTTGTAGATGTAGTTGAAGTATTTCACAGAGGTACAAACTGAGCCAATCTCTTTACTTCTGTGGCCAGGTGATGTGTGGTGCTGTGAAACACAGACATACCTGCACATGTTTGACAACAGATTCTTGTGCCAACAAAATCTGTTTTATTATTAATTCAGGCTTCTGTACTCTCAAATGACAGTGGTCACAGGTAGAATTAGCCACATAATCCTTTGATTGAAAGGACAATTGCTCCTGACATTTTATTCAGTCCAGAAAGCCAATTTAGATCTAAATGTGCCCCTTATTATCAGAAATCCACTTGTGCTTATTTAAGATTTTTTTTATCTCCTCCTCTACAGGCTTCGTTTTGATTTGTGGGAATTTTATGCTGCTCCTGAAGCTTCAGTATAAAACAGCAAAATCAAACTGTCTGGAAAAAGTGTTGTAATGAGCACCTCATTGTTCAGTAAGTAGATTTACTTCTGCTTCAGGTACAGAAAAGGAAAATAACAGGTTTGCACTGTCTTTCGAGCATTTCAAAATACATGAAGAATGCACTAACAAAATGTAAAATTCTAACTGGCATCTCTTTTTCCAAGGAGAATCCACCAGATGTTTTGCGTTTTTACAGGATGTGTACGTTAATTCTCATATCTTATGTGTGGATTAAAAACTAATCACGAGCAGAACTATTTTATCCTGTTCTAAGATACCATCCACTGGTGCAAAGGTGTGTCTTTGATTTATAGATTGGTGGCTTTTCACGTGTTCTGACCATGCCTTTAAGTTTGTGAACCTGACATAATGGTCACTTAGTTCTCACAGTTGAAAGTACTAAGAGAAGAGAGGAGACTTAGGCTAGAGATAAAGATTTATTTAAATACCCTTGAATTCACAGTTCAGGCTTTGGCATGACATTTATTTTCTCACATACTGTTTTATATTTACTTATATGCAAGTTTATCAAAATGTCTAAGTGTGGTTTGGTGAAAATAATCTGCTATCATAATCTTCTGCTGAATGAAGAGATGGGCTGTCTTCAAACAGAAGAATAGCGTTCTCATACTTGAAATTGCATAGAGGGGGAACCACCCTTTACATGACATATCAGTGGGTTTTCGTTCTTTTTGAGTAACATTCACTGAAGAAATAAAATATTTGGGTTTGTAAAAGGTTAAAAATGATGTTGCAAATGTCATGACTCAAACGTGTTCTCTTCAAGGCCAAAGTAACAGTAATTGATCAGAGAGACAGATAGTCTCTGATGTCAAAATCTTTCCAACCTCAGAGTTACAAAAATAGCACCAGAAATGTATCACATCTGCAATGTACATAATATGTTTACATCACCCAAAAGATCAAAGTTGAATGATGTAGGACTGAAGGTGGTGCAGTCCAGCTGCACAGTAACATCTATTTCTAAGATCAAGTCAACCACAGCTTTTCTCAGTGTTTCCACTGCGCCTCTCGGTGCAATACAACAGCAGATGCAAGCTATTATGAAACACTTTGCAGCTCTAGATTTTTATGGCTTCCTCTCTCCGACATATGAGGAGGTGTGCAGCAGTCAGTCCAGGTATCCATTTCTAGGGCTGATGTGATCTGAAATTAGGTCTATCTGTATCTGCACATGAAACCCAAGACTGCTGGGCTTGAGCCACGCTTTAGGAGGAGCTGCAGCTCTAGACTTGAGAGGGTGCCTGGTGGTGGTAATAGAGACCGTGAGAGTCACGCGTGGCTCCACTACGTGCTTCAGATCTCCTTTTGAGCGTCAAATGCTTTCAGATGGGATGCAAATAATGGCCCAGGCACCATTTACAAGCGGGACCAAAAAGCCATTCTGCCCTTCTGCTACTGCTTTTAAGCGCAGTACTTCTTTCTATAGGTAGATCAAGCACCACTTCTTAGAAATATGGTTCCTAACCCTAAAGGAAGAAAGTCAGCAAACTAGATCTTTTTATTTATTTGGTTTTTATTTTTTTTTTTTAAGAGATGGAAAAGATGCACTTCTTCCTCCGTGGCTGGGCTATTTAGCGCTCTGAAATTCACAGGTTCTGATACCCTCTCTATTTATGTAAACAGGTTCTTGTTCTGCATTCCAAAAGGAAGTTAAAATGTGGTTCCTAGTTCACCAAAAGATCTCTGAATTCTGTGGATTTGCCATGGTCCTGATATTCACCTTGTTCTTCCTCAGGAAAGCGGCAGCTGCAGGCATCATCTTCCTGAATTGACTGTTCAGGTGTGGTGTGCACTAAATAAAAAGATCAAAAGTTCACTTTCCATGTATTTTTCAGTCATCTTCTTTCACCCTTCCTCAGTCACAACTGCAGGAAGTCAGCAAGAAAAAAATTCTTCCAAATGATTCAATAATCTGAAATCATTCCCCTACAGCATGTACATCTGATAAAACTAATTTATCATACTTTGTCTTCCCTAATGCAGCGGGGGCTGCTAGTGCTCCGTTTGCCACAGAAATGAAAGGAAGAACAACATGGATTTGTTAGATTTTTGGAGTAACACTATTGTCTCCTGTATTCAGAATCACACTAAAAGATCAAGCCCTTATCTCTAGGAAAGGGGAGAGGAAAAGAGCGAGAGAGAAAAACCCAAGCAAACAAAAAAATCCCAACCATAAACTATGTTGGATGCAATTCCCCCTCATCTTTGTGCTGAATTCTTGAGCTTCCCCAGGGCTTATTAGGTCTCAGAGGGCAGTACTGGATTCAGGCTGACTCTGCATCTGTGTAGCAGTACATCCTGACTGATACCCCCCCTTCTACCACAGCCAAAGTTCAAAGATGCTCACTCCAGCCCATGTATACTGTTTCTGAGCCAAGAGAACTGGAAAGTGCTATTGCCATGCACACCAAGGATGGTACTTGGAAGCAATAAACAGAACTGACCCTTAACCGGATCAGCACGGCTCAGCTGAGCTTTTTCACCTCCCACGAATACCTCACTTCTATGGATATGCATGCAGTTAACCTGCAGTGTTGACAGAATACTCACAGATAATTAAGCGTTTCCTGTAATAAAAATTCCAAAACTGTTTTCCTTTCACTTGTTGTTTCTGACTTACAAGGCCAAAAAAATGAAGCTATCTGCAACTATCTTTGAAAGATAACTAAAAACCTGGATTCCTGATTTCTGTCTGGTTTCAAAAAGAAAAATTGAATTGAGGAGTGTACATATCTTACTTTTCTTGAAGACAGCATGTAGTTTCTTTTTCTGCCAGATACTGAAGCACACGCACGAAGGTAGCAGAAACAGTATGCACAAAAGCCCAGCTACAGTAAGAGAAATTCTGATAATGTCCATCTGGAGGTCCTTCCCTAGGAAGCAAACAACATTCTCTAAGAAGCGTTACAGAGCAAAATTCTACTGCCCTTGAATTAGCTGACAACTGTGTCTCCGACTCTGCTTCTGGGTAAGTCTGCAACACTGGAAATGGACAGAAGAAAGGACTCTTGCTTTAAATGGTAAGTGATTCAGCTATAGTACGTTGCAAAGCAGGTCGTAACTCTTTAGCTCTATAAGCAATATTATACAACGACTCACCTGGCACAGGGATAGAAAATGGAATTGCAGGAGATGTGGTAGGCAGAGTAGTGACTAAAGTGGCATTATCTGGAGCGTGTTTGCAAATGACATCTTTTGCTGCAGTTCCAGGCTCCAGGACCTGGTTTGCAGAGCACCTGAAAGGCATTTAAAGCAAAACAGGGGGGAAAAAAAAATCATGGGGAAAAAAATCCAGTCAAGTGTAATAGCTGTAGCATTTCTTTTTAGATTACTTACTTTGTCCAGTTTTTACAGGAGCCATTGGACTGATCATTAAAAGTTCCATAGCGGCAAGTTTGGCAACCTTCAGCAGACAAGGACGGGTGAATTTGTACAAGATGAGCATTTAAAACAACATGTGAAACATTATTTTTGCCTGCTTGTACAATGACTATGACCCACATTCACAGAATTACCATTTCATAAGCTGCTCTGAGTATACATGGCAAGTCTTTCCCTGCAGTACAGTACTCTTAGAGCTGGTTTATTTGGCACAAGATGCCACAAATCACACCTAACTCCAGAGTTCCCAGCTCAGTTTCCCACATGCTGGTGACAAAAGAGCTACTGTGCAAAGGGAACAAACTGGAGCACGATTTGAGCTGCAGTAGGGCTCAGTTTGGTGGGTTTGTCCACTGCTTTGCTCACTCCACGCAAACCGTTTAGCAGCCATGGCAGCTTTTACCTTGTGAGGTCCTTATACTGGCTGTTTCTGTGCTGTGCAAAGAGGCAGTGGTGCATCTGGTGCAGCACGCGCAGGAGAGTTAAGCTGGTGGTGAAAGATGAACTTACCGCTCCCGGTGTGCTCCTGGCCCACGCCGCAGCTTTGGTCACAGCGGGAGCAGCTGTCGCCGCTGCAGCGATACCCCTCCTTGCATGTGCATTCAGCATCGCTCTTTGAGGAACACTCTTTTAAATACCTGAATCTTCCTGGAAGGTGGAAACGAGTCTTGGGTCACCTACGCGGCGCAGCCAAGGCTCGGGACCCCCGCTCTCACAAGAATTAGGCTGGAGGCTTCAGCGAGGAGCCTCGCCGGCGCATCGCGGTACTTCGCCAGC